CGCGCCAAAGACGGCGTCAACGCCTTGCTCGTCAACTGGCCAAGGCCGCAGAATCGATGGACGGGATCCACTACAATGAAGATCTCAAGTCCAGACAGCGCCAAGAGCAACAACGGCACATAACCCACCCCTCCTCCAAAGCAGAAACGAACGATTAGGTTCGTGTCACGAGGACTCGCTCAACCCTCGAAGAGAGAATCAAGAAGCGCCGCGCATTGCTTGCGCATGCCCGAGCCCTTCTGCAGAAAGCAGAGGAGATGCAGAAAGAAGAGACGGTCAAGAACCCGTCAAAACTCAAGCAGGAGTGGGTGCTAAAGGCAATGCCAGCGCCTAACACAAGAGCGGACGATGTTGCTGTCCAACCTTCATCAAATCCAGATCCCGTTCCCCTTGCCCCCGCACCTCTGGCGGAGTCAGGTAAGAACACGGATCCTTCAAGGACCAGGGTTCCTTTGAAAGGTCGCCTCGGTCCTTTACCTGGGAATCGAGGTAAAGCACCTGTCAAGGAACGATTGGGTCCGTTGAAAGGTCCCCAAATGATGAACCTGACTGGGGGTCGTGCTAATCCCCCCAAGGAAGATAACAAAGGGAAAACCCCTATTGCCGACCGCATTGGGTTGCGTGTCAAATTTCAAGAGCCCGTTAAGTTTTTACGCTCACAAAAGTGTAGACTGGAACGAGCGACTTTTGAGAACGCTAATAAAGCGTCATATCCCCAGAAGGAAACACATTCGTCTGATGATGATTGTGTTATACCTGGGAAGTCATGCCAACACTCTATGGGTTGCTCCAGTTATCAAACTGATGAGTTGTACTATAGAGCTGGGGGTATGAATAAGTCTCGGAAGAAAGATGCTCGAGACACGGAACCCCACTGTCCGTGTGCCAACATCATCAGGGCGGTGCTATCGGAGTGCTGTTGTTCTAAAGCCCCAAGGAGAGTTTCGGTGTTCGAGAGAATTTCCACCGGAACGTCTGAGACCAAGCCTAGGCGTTTCCAACGAAGAAGAAGGATAGTCGAAGACGGAGAATTTCCGAAGGTCACCACTAATATGACCAGCAAAAGGGCATCGACATGGGATAATCCCGAGTCAACTCCGCTAGTACCCTGGTATTTAACTCGTCTGCAGTCTGGAACCATTACACGAGGGACTTATAGTAGGGTTCGGACGAGATTGTCGTCAGAAGACGAAGGATCAGATGCCTGCTCTGCGATTGCATCGGACAACACGGTATCCAGCGAGGGACAACCCCGCCAGGTACTCATGGTCAGTGCTGAACAAGCCGACCGCATCGGGTTGCGTGTCGAAATTCAAGAGCCCGTTAAGTTTTTACGCTCACAAAAGCGTAGACTGGAACGAGCGACTTTTGAGAACGCTAATAAAGCGTCATATCCCCAGAAGGAAGCACATTCGTCTGATGATGATAGTGTTATACCTGGGAAGTCATGTCAGCACTCTATGGGTTGCTCCAGTTATCAAACTGATGAGTTGTACTATAGAGCTGGGGGTATGAATAAGTCTCGGAAGAAAGATGCTCGAGACACGGAACCCCACTGTCCGTGTGCCAACATCATCAGGGCGGTGTTATCAGAATGTTGTTGTTCTAAAGCCCCAAGGAGAGTTTCGGTGTTCGAGAGAATTTCCACCGGAACGTCTGAGATCAAGCCTAGGCGTTTCCGACGAAGAAGAAGGATAGTTGAAGACGGAGAATTTCCGAAGGTCACCACTAATATGACCAGCAAAAGGGCATCGACATGGGATAATCCCGAGTCAACTCCGCTAGTACCCTGGTATTTAACTCGTCTGTAGTCTGGAACCATTACACGAGGGACTTATAGTAGGGTTCGGACGAGATTACCGTCAGAAGACGAAGGATCAGACGCCTGCTCTGCGATTGCATCAGACAACACGGTATCCAGCGAGGGACAACCCCGCGAGGTACTCATGATCAGCGCCGAGCAAGTAACCAAAATGCTTGAAGATGCCCTGGCTCGGCAGAAAGAAAGTTTCAAGTTCGAGATGGAGATGGCCATACAGCAAATGAGAGAGATGCATGACCAGCAAATCGCAACACTGACAACTCATCAAGGAGAATAAGGGAAAAGGAAAAGCACATGCAAATGCCGTGAACGCGAATCAAACGTTCGAGGTGCAAGCGCAGCCGCAACAGCAGTAGCAAAAGGCGCCTCAACAATCAAGGTGGCAGCAGCAGACCCAGAAGCCGAAAGTCTCGGAGCCGAAGTTCCCAAAAGTTTATTCGTTCAAAGAGGATGAAGTTCCGGTATCTTTAAGTACCTCATTGAGAATAACAAGATCAAATTGCCTCCAGTCCAGGATCAGGAAGATGCCAAGAGAGTCAATGATCCAAAATACTGTGCATTTCATAGAGCGGTGCACCATCCTACCAAGGTATGCTATGCCCTTAAAGACAAGATCCAAGCTCTAATCGATGTCGGGGTCATCACAATGAAGCAGCCGAAGGAGAAGAGAGTGGGATCAAATGCAGTGTCAATTAGTTTCGGTTCTGCTCCCGTGAACTGGTTCCAGCTCGAGCCAGTAATAAATGCAAAAGTGAAGACGGTGAATGATGATCCTCACAAGCAGCGCCAGAAAGGACTTGTGCCACACACAGCCCCGAATGGTGAGATTCTTTGGGTTCATCCAGATTTGGTTGGAGATGAACAATGGACTGGAACCTCTTCCAAGAAAAAGTCAAAAGGAAAAGGTAAGTCTT